CTTGACACGAGTGCTAATGAGAATTAGGATATGAAAATGAAAGAAGAAGAGAAATAACGATTTACTCTTGCATGGTTGTATTGGTTGTTTGTGTACCCTTGTTGGGATTTCCTTCCAAATACTTGTTCACTCCCTTGCCCTTTATTTGTGACTGTTGCTTGGGCAAGGTTGAGAGGTATACATTACGGATCGGGTTGCACGCTGCAACAGTTATAATTGTGGATCGGGTTGCACGCCGCAACAATGTTATATGTGGGTCGGGTTGCACNATATTTGGGCTGTTAGCTGTACCCTTGCCGGGTTAAAGTGTTATGTTGTCGAATTCCCCTAATGGGGCCTTCTTTACAAAGTCAGATATTTTGAACTATAATATGGGATCGTGTGGCACGCCGTCCACTTATATACTATGATATGGGATCGTGTGGCACGCCGTCCACTTATATATTATGAAATGCGATCGTGTGGCACGCCGTCCACTTATGAATTAAGAAATGGAATCGTGTGGCACGCCGTCCACTTATATACTATGATATGGGATCGTGTGGCACGCCGTCCACTTATATTCTATAATATGGGATCGTGTGGCACGCCGTCCACTTATATATTATGAAATGGGATCGAGTGGCATGCCGTCTACTTATGAATTAAGAAATGAAATCGTGTGGCACGCCGTCCACTTATGAATTAAGAAATGGGATCGTGTGGCGAGCCGACCACCCATAAATGAGCTATGGTATTGAGATAGTTTCGTCGTTCTATCCGTTGATCTGTGTTCGCTGTATTTTTTTCCCGAGCATGCCCCCTTCCCCTTTTTAGTTAATATTCTCTGTTGTTATTTCTGTTGCCTTTGTGTATATATATATATATATATGCACAGGTTGTTTTGGTAGGTCCTGTCTAGCCTCGTCACTACCTCGCCGGGGTTAGGCCGGGCACTTACCAGCACATGGGGTCGGTTGTGCTGATGCTACACTTCTGTGCTTTTTGCACAGATCACAGTACCGGAGCAGGAGCTTTTGGACATTAGTGGGAGCGTTGGGAGCTTACTTCAGTCCGGAGATTTCCGAGGTAGCCTTGCTAGCGTCCGCATGGCCCGGAGCCTCTCTTATCTCTGTCTTTCGTTTGATTTCCCTTGTATCGAATCAGACAGTACTGTATTCTTATTCAGACTATGTATTTAGCATTCAGTAGAAGTTCGTGAGTTAGTGACACCAGATCTGGGTAGAAGTGTATTTGAATTTCCGCACTTGGTTTCAGTTATTTATGTTTCGAGACTTTCGCTTTTATATTATTGCCTCGTTCTTCTTTATACTGTTAATGTTGTTGAGAGAAATGTTAAATTAATTGGCTTGCCTAGCTCCTATTAGTAGGCGCCATCACGACTCCCGAGGGTGGGAAATCCGGGTCGTGACATTAATCTTGTCCGGGGAATCGAGGTAAGTGTTTGGCCTAACCTTAGCATGAGGGAATAGGAGTTGTGGTCTTATTTGCCGTGTGTTAGTATGAGTACGACGTATAGGTGTGGTGACGAGTATCTATACGTTGGTGTCAAGCATGCCCGTGAGTCTTATATTACGATTGTTGTGACTTTATTATGTATCAATCATGCTCAAATTGATGATTATTAATGTTGAACAAAGCTTATGAAAGTTTCTTGGTAATTGACTATTGTTGAGTATTGGCTCAAGTTGAGTTTCATTTTAAAGTAATTGTTGAAAACGAGATTGGTTATAGCTGAATCCCTTGCCGGGATGTTATTGTTGGTATTGTTGATTCCCTTGCCGGGATATTATTGTTGATATTGTTGATTCCCTTGCCGGGACGTATTTGAGGACGAGTGTAAAGCACGAAGGGTGATGACGTGCATGATATTGTGAGCGAGTATAATGCATGAAGGATGATGTCGTGCTGATATTATGAGTGTTAATACACGAAGGGTGATGTCGTGCCATGAACTGAGAGTTATTCTATGAAGGGTGATGCCGTACCAATATTGTGAGGAATAATGCACGAAGGGTGATGCCGTGCCATGATTATGTGAGGTAATGCACAAAGGGTGATGCCGTGCTGTTTCTGTTGTTTCATATGGTGAGGACGAGGATAAAAGCACAAAGGGTGATGCCGTGCACGTGTTACCGTTTTATTATTCTTGTTGATATAGATATGATGCTCATTATGCTTCTTTATTGATGCTTCTTTATTGGTTTATTGTTAGAATCCAATATTCCCCGCAGCATGTCCCCCTCCCATCTTATTCTGTTGATTCCTGTTATTATGATTTTGTTTGTATATGATTTAACTGTACAGGTTTATATGGTTGCCGTGTCCTAGCCTCGTCACTACTTCGCCGAGGTTAGGCTCGACACTTACTTAGTACATGGGGTCGGTTGTACTGATGCTACACTCTACACTCTTTTGTGCAAATTTCGGTACCGGACCCAGTGAGTAGCTGAGGTAGTTGCCTTCAGTCCAGGGAGACCAAGGTAGATCTGCTGGCGTCTGCAGAGCCTAAAGTCCCCTTTCCCTGTTTTAGCTTTCTGCTGTCTCTTTTCATTCCGAGATCAGTTGTACTTTTCTTTTCAGACCAGTATTTGTAGAAATTCATAGATGTTCGTGAATTTGTGACACCAGATTCGTGGGTAGACATGTATTGGAGTATTTGGATTTATTTTAACTCTTCCGCGCTTTTCATTTGTTTAGTTATAGTTATTGTTTATAATTGTTTGGGTTGATTGTTAATGTGTAGAACCTTAATAGTTGGCTTGCCTAACTTTCACGAGTAGGCGCCATCACGACTCCCGAGGGAGCAAAAACCGGGTCGTGACAGCAAAACAACTTCATGCTATATTAGCATGAAGTTTTAGCTTCAATATGAAACGACTTCATGCTACATTAGCATGAAGTTTCTGTTTTTCTGATAAAGCTGCTAAGAAGAGAGGAGGAGATCTTTTTTCATGAATAAGGTTGCAGATCACGCGATTTATCAAGGGTGTAAGTGTCATATTATTACGGATTTTTTGTCAACTGGCTATCAAATCAATAATTTTTAAAATAGGGTACAGGTTAAAAGGTGGCATAAATATAAGGTACGGCTGCAAAACCCCCGGAATAAAGTGTGACGCGAATGGAATTCTTTCGAAGGGAATTGGTTTTTGTCAACTCAATCAAATGTACACAAAGAAATATTGAATGTACCATTTAAAGCAATTTGAAATTCTAATAGAAATAGAAATACACACACTTAACGTCCTCATGGACACCATGTTAACTTGATTTTTCACATTAATTGCATGTTTGACTTCTATCATATTCAATAGGGACTTCTAACCTTGTCGGCCAAAAAAGAACTAAAGGAGATACCAGTAAAATCCCTTATCGAAAATGTCTCTATCAATAAATCGGATTAACTATATTTTCTAGTACTACAATATCATAAGCCAATAAAAATAGCACACTAGGCTTCTAACCATACGAAGAAAACACGGAGCATATGCAACTTATAGTCGGCATATGGTGTGTTGTGTAGGATCGATAAGTTGCCTAGAGGGTGTTTGGCTAATAGCCTGTTTAGCCAAGCTTCTTTTGAGGCAAAAACACTTTTTTTTTTGTCAAAAGTGCTTTTCTTCTAAGATTAAGGTGTTTGGCTAAGCTTTTGAAAAGAAAAAAAGTGCTTTTGAGGAGAAGCAGAAGCAATTTTGAAGAAGCAGAAAAAAGTAGCTTCTCTCCAAAAGCACTTTTCTGAAAAGCACTTTTCTGAAAAGCACTTTTGAGAAGAATATACTTAGAAACAGTTTTTTAAAGCTTGACCAAACACTAATTGCTGCTCAGAAGTGCTTTTCAAATTAATTAGCCAAACACAAATTGCTTCTCACCAAAAGTACTTTTGAGAAAAGCACTTTTGAGAAAAAGCACTTCTCAAAATAAGCTGATTTTTGTAGCTTGGCCAAACGGGCTATAAGCTTATAAGCTGGTCAAACTAGCTTATAAGCACTTTTCGACTTACCTACGCGTTTTGAAAAGTTAAAAGTGCTTATAAGCCAAGTATTTAAAAGTCAAAAATAAGCCAAAAGACATAAGCTGGTCACCCTCATCTTATGAATTTCTAGCTTATAAACACTTTAAGTTTGACCAAGATTTTTACTATTTTATCCTTAAAATATTCTTTTTTAGAACAAAACTCCTACATCGATATTCACTACCTCAAGTATTCAACTTTAACCTAACCCCCCCCCCCCC